CTCATTAAAACAATGTCACAGCTGTGGGACTGGGGAAATGAAGCAGCGCTAATGCAAATTTGCTTTGAAACAATTAGCATATTGATGAAGTTAACTGCACTCAAACCTTAGCACAAACCTGAGCAGAATCCTTAATGAGGCCGCTGGTTATCAGAAAGTTCACCTCGCTTGTCGTAATGATTGCACACTGGCTCCAGCAGCCATTGCAACGGTTGTGACCTTGTCTAGTACACGCACGCACGCACACACACACACACACACACACACACACACACACACACACCAAGCCATTGTAGTGTGTTTGTTTACAGTGACATGCGAGGGTGTAGCCATGACGGCATCTGTTGTCATTAGACATGCCAATTTGTTTCAGTTGTTCTGCATTGAAAACACAAATTGTTCACACAAGAAGCCCTGGCCCCTTGGACCATAGCGTCCTCCACAGTCCTTCGCACCCCACTGGCTGTGCTCCCCTGCGAGTCTGATGGAGCAACACGAAGTAATTGGCGTGCGCGGGACTTCCTGTGTGGACCGGGCTCGTGTCGGCCCAGTCGTGAATGCCTAAGTGTTGATGTATGGGAACATTCCTCAGCACCCCACCACGCTGATGGAGCTCTGCCGCTGCCTCCTTTGTTCTGTGTCTTCTTAAATGACTCCTTCCCGTGTGTGTTGTGTGTGCGTGTGCGTGTGTGCATGTGCGTGTGTGTGTGTGTGTGTGTTTTGTTTTTCCACAGGGGTGTGCACAGGCATAGCTGAGCCAGTAGACTGCAGGGTGAAGAGTGCGCGCGAGAGATCAGCCCCCGGCTAACATGGACGTGGAAGACTTTCCACCTCCTCCGCCTGAAAGTAAAGTCAACCACGACCCATACAACCGCACTGACACTTTCATCTGCTGTAATTCTCACTGGCCTCTGTCTTTTCTTCACCCTCTACTGTCTTCTGTGTAAAGTAGGTCTGACAGCCCATTCAGGTTGAGTTGCAGTCATAGGGGGTTCAAGGGGATGAGAATGTCAGGGCTCATTGGGACATTGGAAGTTGGTGGTTGGGTTGTGGTGAGATGAGTGATCAATGGACCGTTGTGGTGTCCCCCCCCCCCCCCCTCAGGGTTCATTTCCTGGCTGATAAGACCACAGACAGCGACGCCTCCCCCATGCATGCATAGCCGAAATAGCTCAGTTGGGAGAGCGTTAGACTGAAGATCTAAAGGTCCCTGGTTCGATCCCGGGTTTCGGCAGTACTGTTTTTTACAGTTGAGCTTTGAATGCATTCAGATCCCCCAGATCAGTGGCAGTTAGAGAAATAATAATGTGAAAAAAAGTAAACGAGCGCTTACAACGACACATATTTTGAGACAGTATTGATACCGTCATAACTAACTCATACAACCGCTATACATAAATATACAGATTTACCTTTCAATCTGGAAACTATTACTTAGCATGCACAGGCCGGTTAGCTCAGTTGGTTAGAGGCTAATAACGCCAAGGATCCCCGTACCAGCTGTAGTGTTTTAAATAGCAAGTACTTGTAAGTGATTGCAAACCTTCTGTGAGCCTATGGATTCTCCCTATAAAACATTAACCTCGCTTATATTGCGCTGGTGATAATCCTAAAGAACAAACAAATATTACACAACATTTAAGATTAAACCAATAAAAATGTCTTCTATTTCCACCATCAGGGCAAATGATACTGCATCTTTAAAGGCAAATTGCCTTTGCATTGTCATGCAATCGGTTGATTTGCCTACCAAACAGCCTGGGGCTGCTGCCACTTGTAGCTCGGGGAAGACAATAAATGACATGTGAAAACAACACATTCCTCTCCTCCTCGCTTCTGAAGAGCGTGGGCAGAGGACCCAGGGAGGGGGGGAAATGTGCTGTGCCACTGAATCCCAAACAATGTGCCTCCAGTGCTGAACAGTATTCTGCTGCAGCATCGCATGCACATGCACACGCACACACGCACACACACGCACACATACACACGCACATGCTACCAGAGCCTCCGGGGACAGACACAGGCCAGAGAAATGCTTAGCCCCCAGCTGGGCGGCCGGTTGCGGTGTTGCCAGGGCGATGCTGGAGCCGATTGTAAGCCGGTGAACAGAACGTTATGTGACAGAGCGGGGAAGGGTCCAAGAGAACAGAATCCATATTGTGTGTGTGTGTGTCTGTGTGTCTATGTGTGTGAGAGTGTGTGAGTGTGTGTGTGTGTGTGTGTGTGTCCCGTCCCGGTCTCCCCTGTAAAGTCTGGCTAATTAAATACGGGCATGCACACTCGCACCAGTGCTATTTGACATGATCCGCCCTGGGCGCTTGACGCAGTACTGAATGGCCGAGTGAGCACGGTTCAGCTGGCCAGATCCGATCGGACTGAGCCCCCGCACTTGCGTTTCACACGACCCGGCAAAGTGTTTCACATTTAAACGACACAGGAAGGAGTGAGCGTGCATAATAAGCTAAGCCGGACACCAATATTTATTCCAAGAATAGGAGTCGTTAGCAAGCCGGCGAGCTGTGCCTTATCTCTATGAAAGTGTGTAAAGGGGTAACGTGGAGCTGTTTGTTTTTTGTTGTTGGTTATATTTTAATTGTGATGAGAAGAAGGCTGTATGTATCTCAAAGGTCAGTAATATTAAGTGGAACCAACAAAGTTAAAAACATTCCACTTTGGAAAAAGAGTGCAACTAAAGTGTTTGAAAAAGAAATGAGTGCCCGTTTAGTATTCACTAAAGCGTTAATGCCAAAACCCAGAAATGAACCAGGCAACTTTAAATCTATCATTTAGTCTAACGCTCTCCCGACTGAGCTATTTCGGCTGTGTTGAAAATTGTTTTTTTCTTCTTCATAATCCACAATCCTGGCTGCTTGTAGGGTGATGGGGAATGAGTTCCTGGTCTTTGGAGGGAGTGACATCCTACTTTCCTGCTGGCCTAATTTCAGTGTGGAAACAGATGTGCATTTCCCCTTCCTGCCTAGAAACACAACAAGACACTCCCACAAGTGACGTGTAACTACAGGGTGTGCCTGTGTTGTTATTTCACACGCTATAAAGTAGTATCTGAGTGGACAGCCCTTGATGTGAAAGTTGTACAGTAAACGGCACACTGCAGTTTGCTGGGACTCCACCCTTATATACAAGCCCAAGCAAAGGCCTCTGTCTCTGAACCCTCAGACCACCACCAACCACAATGTGTCTGTTCCCTCCACAGCTCCCGGTGGTGGAAAACTGTATACAAACAAGATCACAAGGTTCTGTGTGTAGCGTACTTTCTTCATAACTTTGCTTCATAAAGCATGTGCATCAAGAGAACAGCCACAGCTTTGAAAGCGCACAAAATGCACTCTGCTCAGCCTTCGAAGAACAACATTAGCCGTGTGTCAGTATCTGGTTGTGGTCTGTGAGGCTCGTTTTTTGTGAACGACGGCTGCAGTTTTAAGTTACCTCCTCAACCACAAAACCTGATACACCTGCATTCATGTTGTCCATTCTCCATGCACGTCTATATAATCTCTCTCTCGCTCTCCCTCTCTCTGTCCTAGTGTTGGCAGACGGCAGCCACTTTGCCGACGAAGACGAGGGGGAGGCCTTCGAGTTTGACGACAGCGGCGATGAGGTCGCGGAGGCTGGCCTGCCGCCCCCGGCCCCAGAGGCCCTGGAAGTTAAGGCCCCGGCCCCTGCCCCCTCGGACATCGCCGCGGCAGGGACACGCAGAGGGTCCCGCGGAACCACCCCCCACCGGTGTGACGGAGGACGTGCCGGCGGTCGCTGCGCGGACCACGTCTGCCATCAAGGAGGCCCGTGAAGAGGAGAGCGATTTCCCGCCTCCTCCCCCTCCATCCCCTCCCCCTCCAGAGGACATCAGCAGAACAGGTTGGTGTGGTGGAGGGATCTCATATGTGCCTTCAAGTGGTGGGGATAGGATTGCTTCTGATTCTGTTCAGTTTGTTTTTGTTTTTTGTTTTTTTTTCATTCCTGGTTGAGACGTACCTGTCGGTAAGCGGTAATCCAACCTCCCCTGGTGCCGCAACCTTAAGGAGCGGATGACACCTGATGATTCGCTGCTTTTAACATATTTAGGACTATAATAGCACGTGTACATCTTTTGTTGTGTAGTCTCGACACAAACATGCAGTTTCATAAATCTTTCAGTGACCATTGCCTGCCTTAATGTCTCCCACTTGAGGTTGAGGAATGATTACTTTCTTTGTATGTATGGTGGTCCTGCCTGACTCTGGGGAACGCTGGCTGTATTCAGCCTGCTGCTGCTGCTGCTGCTGCTGCTGCAGGGACCTGGCCACCATCACAGACCGTCTTGACACTGGTGGTCTATGTTCTGTTTATTCCTACCATCACCCCCACACTTACTGTGGGCTGTAGAGGAGGGGTGGGCAGCACTTATCATTCAGCCTGTGCTTGGCACAGAGTGTGACATACGCACGCACACATGCACACGCACACACATAAACATAACTCCCCTCTCAAACACACACTGATAGTGATTTGCTTCTGTTCTCCCTTCCCTCTTTACGAGACACTGGGCGGCAGGGTTTCAAGGGAGAGCTGCTTTCGTGTGGTTGCTTGGCTGGGAGATGCTTATAATGTCATGGAGAAACTTATTTTTTCCCATTTTTACTTTACTTACTTTATTTTTTAAATCATTTTCACATGTAGAATATGTAAGGAATAAACGATTGTGCCAGTATTGGAAAATCATGCATTATTTCCAATAACGGGACAGCCTGGAGTGGTGTATTCCGGCTATACCACAGTTACCAACAATTTCTAGATATGAGTTACTTTCATCTATTGTTTTTTTATCGACTTAATCAGCTGAAATTTTAGCATATTATTGTTTTGCGTTTTCAAGCAACATCTGGTTGTTGTCCTATTTGACCGTTGTTTCATTGGATTTTTATGTTGGGATTTGTAGCGAATTGATTTGGAAATGATAAAGGCAGTGGTGTCCCGTTATTGAAAAATAAAGCACATCCTTGAATTGTTATCGACCAATCAGAATCGAGTATTCAACAAAGCTGTGGCATAATTACATGGGGGGGGGGGGGGATCTGTTTTGGCATCTTTAATATTATTTAATATAAGAACACTTCTGTTCTTCTCTGTCTATCTTCACTCCCATGCTATAGCATACAGGCCGGTTAGCTCAGTTGGTTAGAGCGTGGTGCTAATAACGCCAAGGTCGCGGGTTCGATCCCCGTACTGGCCATCTGTTTTTAGTCCAGTCAGGCTGTAATTAGCAAACGCTGTCTGGTGAAATCTACGACTTGAACTAGACTTGACTTGACTTGTCACGGTTACACCTCTCGTCAATTGCAACGAGTTACAAAACTCTGTGGTCAGCCCTGTAATGTGTTATCTGTCTCAACCCCATCTAAGCCAATATGAACCATATGATTTAGGGCTGGTTCCTTTTGTAGCCATCTGTGTTGCTAGAAGGGCATTAGAGTTTTCCCACATATCACAGTCAAGTGATAAGCGTTTGCGCTTGTAAATGTGCGCAGTGACCTTTCGCCGAGCCTGGCACCATGCATAGCTGGGGGGCGTGAAGCTGTGAACCGGGGTTAGGTTGGAGCCAGCAGGCCATGTACCTCAGAGTGGGGGTCAGAGGACACCAATCAAGCACACATATTTTTTAAGTAGAGGCAGTGAAAGTCACAGTTTACTGTAAATCACACCTCAGTCTTGCTCTGATCACCAGCTGTTGCTGAACTTTTGCCCAGCTTCACCCCCACCCTCTCACCTCTCCCCCCCGCCCCCCACTCCCATCTCACTGAGGGAAGCGGGCCACAAGCTCCAGCTGGGCTTGAAGCTATTCTAAGACTGCTCTCATAGCCAATACAAATACTGAGAGATATATGAATGGGAAAGATTTGTTGTAAATTCTAATGTCATGGGAGCGGGTCACTTCATTCCTTCAGATTATCCCCCCAAACCCCAAAAAAAGCAAAACCAAATATGTTCGAAAGTACAGAACTCACAAATGGTGTTTTATTATTGAAGACGCTTTCAAAAGGGCAACGTAGATTCTGTACAAATACTACTCATAAATGTACAAAATATTCCTGAGAATTATATGTTGCCTTAGACCAGGGGTCTCCAACGCGCAGCTCGTGAGCTACCAGTAGCTCGCTGCCCCTTTCCAAGTAGCTCGCCAAAGGGCCAGTGAATCATACATAAATTTGAAAACTTAATTGGTCCCTCGGCACATCTACTTAAATTTATGTCCAATCAAAATTCACAGTTGTCCCGCCCCCTTCCAACACAAAATGATTATTAGCCAATTAGCTGTCAATCAAAAAGTTGCGCTGCTGTCAAACTTGATGAGTCAGTGGTGACGTGAGATGAGCGAGAGTGGACATATATAACAATGATAAGTGAATAAGTAGCAATATCTGTATTTGTAGTAATAACAATAACAATGATAATAATATTCATAATTTTGTGATGTTTTAATACAGAATGTGAGATGTGAACAGTAACATATTGTAAATGTTCAGGAAAAGAAAGCTTATTGAGCTTGTTTGTTCAAAATGAGCGATGAGAATAAATGTTACAAAACATGAGTAGCTCTCTGCCATTTTTATTTTGTAAAAGTAGCTCTCAGAGGAAAAAATGTTGGAGACGCCTGCCTTAGACTCTCTAATTGTCAGTTATATTTGCCGACACTAAAGTTTACTAGTTGTTGTTATTGTTGTTGTTGTGTCATCTCATCTCTGTAAACGGCATGACCATAATGTATGAGAGATCACCCTGGTCATGACTGGAACATCCTGTCACTGAACATATCTCTCCGCCTCCTCCTCCTCCTCCTCCTCCTCCTCCTCCTCCCTCTGCCAGGATGCCAAGACCGGGATCACCCCTGCGATGATGCCGCCCTCCCCCGGGGCACGCTTCCCCCTGGACACACCACCCAGGGAAAGGTCAACCCCTACTCTGTGATTGACATAACCCCGCTCCAAGTGCAGCAGCTGGAGCAGCCTCTTGGCTCCGCCCCTTCCTCTCCATCAGGCCCTGCCCCTTCCTCTATACCCGACACCCAGGAGCAGATGGCGGTGGCGGGAGCAACAGCAGAGGCCCAGCAAGTTCCCAGCAGCCCTCATGGCGTCTCATCGGGCTACGCCATCCCGGTGCCGTGCGGCTACGCCACACCGTCTGGCGTGCCACTCATCACGCCCACCTACACCACGCCGGTCATCATCCGCCACCTCTCCGTGGACGAGGAAGGTACCGAATGTGTGGTTTAACAACGTCATTGTTTTAGCATTACATGTAAAGGACTAGGTAAGTAGTTGTGAGGGCCGGGACGATGCTTGTCTCCCGATTCGATACTATCACGATACTTGGGTGCCAATTCGATATGTATTGCGATTTTTAAGTACTGCCATTCCATATTATGATTTATTGCAATTTTTGTTTACCTTTTTGACCCTAGACTGTGGGAAAAAGTTGAATTATACACTTCTAGAGACTATATCATGAGGCATATTTCCAAAAACAATTCACATCACATCAGTGTTGTCAGTCTTTCTGACTTGTATTTCAGCAGCATCATTGCTATACTGGGAGGGTTTAAGGGAAGGTTATATGCTACTGTTGATGTAGTGTACTTCTTTTATGCATTTGATGGGAAAACAATGAACATACAAAAAAATGAAGGCATTCAAAAATCAAAAAAAATCGTTTGAAAATATCAAGATGCTTTAGGCAAGGCAAGGCAAGGCAGCTTTATTTATATAGCGCATTTCATGCACAATGGCAACTCAATGCGCTTTACATAAAACAAACATTTAACAGTAA